AGCAAAACAACGCCGGCTACCGCAAACAGCTGTAACGGATGCCAACGTCGTTGTTGGCCCCATTCCCTATTTGGCACCTCGGCTTACCTCGGCATCAACATGCGCCAGCTACCCCAGGGGTCGTGGGTGTTGCTACTGCTGCTGTTGCTATTGCTGTTGCTGTTGCTGTTGCTGTTGCTGTTGGTGGCTGGCGGCTGGTGGCTGGTGGCAGCAGCAACATCAACAGCTACAACAACTAGAGCGACAAACGTGGCGGGCAAAAACACGCGTTTCCATTTTGCGCATACCAAAAACTGCAATGCACAATAAGAGTGATCCCTAACAAGCCCTGGCCCAAACCAAGCGCCCCCGAACATTGAGAGGGGCCTCCTGTCACCTCCCCTCTAGCCCCCTTTGCTGCATTCACATTCACAAGCCACAACACACGCTCTGCTCTGCTTTGTTCTCCTGCCATGCAGCCTCCATCACGTTAGCATTGTAAAAACATATGCTTTCACACTTGACACACACACACACACACATACACAAACACAATACACACACACACAGGTGCATGACACTCATGGCTGTCCAGCCAGCAAAATTGTCGACTTTGTTTTGCCTGAATGTTCCAGAAGTGCAGAGTTGAATAGGAAAACATTAGAAAAGTAATAGAGTAGACGTGATATTTGAGTATTTTAGAGTATAATCTAGTTTAATTTAATTATATTTTTAAGTAAATATTTAAGAATTTATTGTATTATTTGATTAAGAATTAGAAAACTTGAAGTTCATCAAGAAAATGAAAATTGATTAGTTTGAAACACTTTCAATGGATCTCTCACTCACTCTCTCTTTGCCTTTGTCATACTTTGTCTAGCTCTCTCTCTCTATCTCTCTGTATATCTATCTTACTGTTCATCTCTCTCCCCCTCTCCCTCTCTCACTCTTTCTTTGTTTAATCATATTAGTTCTGTTACCTTGTTATTTGCCACCTTTGAGTCTCGATGCCTTTGTTTCCTTAGCCATTTTTATTTTTAGCCTAACAATTACAGTTCCATGAGTTTAATTTTAATTAATATAATTATTAATTTATGCATACAAAATCAGCTTTTTCTTTTACTTAATTTTTATCTTCTCTCTGCTCTGCTCCATGCATAATATGTTAAGCTCTATAGCCATAAAAGCTTGTCGCCTGGCTGTGCTGTTATGTGTGTGTGTGTGTGTGGGGATCCTGGCCGGCCAATCCTGGCCAGTCGCCGGTTGCTTTCCTGCTATTCTGGCCTCCACTTGTCGCACTTTACATGCATGAAAATTAAGTGCTTGTCACATTTGCGGTTGACAACGTTTAATTTTCAGTTTATTTTTATGCTTTCCCAAATAACATGCCAAGCAATACCCCTGCAGACACATACATAGCGACAAACGCGTGTGTGAGTGTGTGTGTGTGTTGGGGGAGGCGTGGCTGGTCGCACATGCAAATGCGGCTGACACAAACAAGAAACAAGTAAACAGCAAAGCAGAAACACGAAAAAAGCAGCAACAAAAATTTAAAATAATTAAATCATTTACCAAAAACAGCTACAGAGGCGACAACAACAATGGCGGCAGCAGCAGCAGAAATAGAAATGAAAACGGAATATAAAATGTGTAATAAAGTGTAATAAAAGAAGAAGAAAGAAAGAAACAACAATTGTAAGCGGAAGTAGCAGCGACGCATTCAGCTGTGACGTCGACTGAGCTTTGGCTTATATCAGAAACAACAGCAGCAGCGACAGCAGTGATAGCAGCAGCAGCAGCAGTAGCAGCAGCAGCAAGAACAGCAAAGGCAGCGACAGCGGCAGCAACGGAAGAAGGTCTGCTTCAGTCCTCTTCCCACCCCTCGCACTGGTCGCCCTCGTCGGCGGCGACTACGAAGACGTGGAGGCATCATAAAGAAAGACAAACGACGACTGTCGGCCATGGAGTGTAATGTAAATTACGAGCAAAGCCAAATGGAAACAATAAAAAAAAAAGTCGCATTGTAATAGCCGCTGCTGCTGCTGCTGCTGCTGCTACTGCTGCTGCTGTTGCACTATAGGCATCAAATGAGGCAGCCAACCGCTGCACCTGTGGGCCAATTGTGGCAGCCAGTGCTCAGCTAGCTGCGTCGATCGTTGGCGATTAGGCGGCCGCTGCCCCAAACTGTTTACTGCTTCCGCTTGCTGCCGGCAACAGCAGCAGCAACAACAACAACAACAATGACCACAAAAGCGTAACATGCGCTGCCGCAATCAAATCAAGCCCCTGCCCCTCTGCTTCTTACCCCTTTGGCAATTACCATTCCTGCTGCGACTGCCGCTGGACACTCTGCCCCTCGCGACGTTCGTCGACACTTTGACGCTTCGCTGGGCTTAGGCGGGCGACGCCGATGACTCAGTGCGGCACAAGCCGGCCGCGAGTCACCCTGTGACGGCATTTCATGCTTAAATAACTGACCGCCGCGACTGCCCAGAGGCAGGAGCCAGAGCGGTGCGGCAGAAACTCTTGCAACGCTACGCTGCACATGGCTAACGCAGCTTGGGGACAGCTGGAGCCCGCTCTAAGCAGCGACCACTTGTGTTTTGGTATTTCAATTTAGCCAAAACACACACACACACACACATAAATATATATATAACTGCGGTTCAGGTGGCACGCAAAGGTCAAGTGTGTTATCCCATTTGGATCTGAGCTCTATAAATACAGTTGGGGTAACTGTTTGTTGGCTAGAAGTAGTTTCAAATATTAATAGACCCGATACGATGTTAGACTAAGGTATATGTCTATATATATACAGCATATATTATAATATATCTACAGTTATTATTGTACTTCCAACATATGAAATCATCATTAATAAAAGATGTTATCGACTCATCTGTGCATTGCAACGAAAAGAGTTGACTGTGCAGTTGATAGTATATATACCTGCCCATTCTATATGCCTCACTAACAGGTTTATTATTCTTCATTTGAATGCCATTTAAGAACTGATTTTATATAGAGAATTTGTATTTATTTACACATTACTTTATTATGTAGAATCTGTAAAGTCGATCGGATTTTGAAGCGGAACTTGCAGTCCATGCTATGGCCATAAGCCATATGAGCCGCTCGACCTCTGGCTGCAAATTTCGCTACAGATATTTGTGCTGTAACCGAATATTACAAAGTTTGTGCAGCTGGCAGCGCATTAGCTGAATTGCAGCTGTTTGCTTGATATATGAAGCGAAATCAAAAGCTAAAACCAAAACTCTCGCCGATTGGCAGTAATACAAAACGGAAGCTGAGGTCACTTTGCTGCGGTCCAAAGGCACGTACTTTGCATTCTTTGCGCAACACCAAACGCGACCCCAGTGCGCCCAAAAGTACAGCCTTTCGAACAGCTATGGATGCCGTCATTTGAGCGGGCGACGTCCGACTGGGTCACGGCGAAAGTCCGCCTGGGGTGGTGTGCAGCAGGATGAGGAGGCTAGGCAATTGAGTGTCTCACGAAAATGAGTTCGTGTTTCGCTGCTGATTTATTTTCACACCAAATGTGCTTGTGTCTGCGTGTGTGTGTGGGTGTAAAGTACTTAATTTGATTTGCGTGCTGTTTGCAACACTTTCTAATGCCTAATCATGAAGTTTGGGTGGAAAAACATTTGAACTCTGCTTTTGTGAATCGGATGTCAACAATTTTTGGTCATTGCCGTGGCTGGGGCTGCGGCTGTGAGCCGAATGCCAAATGTTAAATTTCATTAAATGGTTCACTGGGAATATGAGGGCTGTCGTGCTGTCTAGCTGTCTAGCTGTCTAGCGGAAATGATCGGTTTGCCACACACACACACGCACACACATATATACACCCATGGGGTAGCCACAATTTGAGCACTCTTAGCTGATAACGCCACTGACATCATCATCATCATCATGATCATTAGCAATTTATATATTAACATTTGTTGTTTGCCAAATGTAAATCTTGCTTTGTTCTGATAAGACCCAACTGAAGGTCAAGCGGTTCAATGGGCCGTGAAAACTCTTCATCTTTCGATTTAGGTTAATATTATTGCTGTGCTGGGATTACGTGACTTGGAAGTGTGGAAGCAAAGCAGAGCACAAGTCAAATCGAAAGAGAGAGATAAACTTAAGAGCAAGACTGAAAGCTTCAATGAAATTAACAGCGATTAAAGAAAAGTTGTTTTAAATAAACTTTAAAAAATGCTATTAAATACTTGAGTCTTACAGAAATGATTACTAATTTCAGTTATTATAAGTCTCAAGAGCGGCTAGAAAATAATATTTAAGCACTGAAGATCAGTTGCAGTTTATACTGAGTAATATCTATAGAAATAACCAATCAATATTAATGTTTATACAGCATCGATTGACAACTTAAGTTATTTAAAAAGCAGAAGAAAAAAACTTGAAGCACAAGTTGATGATTGAGCTTTAAGATTGATCGGCTAAAATCCGAAGAAATAAGAGACAACTGAAAGAAATAAAAGACAAAAGAGATTTGAGTAATCGCACTCTCTTTGCATTGCAAATATTTCAATCAACTGAATATTTCTTGGGATTTCGCCTCGATCGTCAGCAAAAACTGGCCGCAGCTGCCGCTGGACAGGCAGCAGCAGTCACATCCGCAAGCGCAAGCGCAGACGCGCCTGCAATTAGCGAAAAGGTCAAAGGCCACAGATGCTGGGCATGGCCCAGGGATAACAGCAAGGATGTGCGCCGCTAAGCAAATGACAGCAGCAGCGCCTGACACGCCCACCACTAAGCCCCTTTCACACACATGCTCTCACTCTCTCCCTCTTTTCCTCCCTTCCTCACTCTCTCTCTCTCTCTCTCTCTTTCAGCTATCGCTAACGGCGAAATTTAATTGAATTTGCATTTAAAACATGTTTTCAATTTGCACAGCAAACAAAAGAGACAAAAACTCAATAATCATTATAATAAAGACAAATAAAATATTTATATAAACAAAAAGACAACAGCAAAATAAAACAACTTACATTTAACTGCTTTATATCCCAGGCGCAAGAAGAAGAAGACGGCAATGAAGAAGACCGCAAAGGCACCAACTGTTGCGCATGCGTTGTTGCTGCTGCTGTCAACGCTGTGATTGTAGTTGTTGCTGCTGCTATTTGGTTTGTTTTTGTTTTTGTTTTTGTTTTTTATCTTCTCGTTCGGCGCGTTGTTTTTGGTTTTTGGGTTAATACAAAATTATTGTAAAATAAATTAGCAAACGAATAAATATTAAACACGAACTTGTGCGCTTTTTACTTTTTTGCTTATACATATATTTTTCACTTTTGTGCTGTGCGTTGTTGTTGCTCTTAGAACCATGCTCCAAATATTTATTATCGCTGTTGTTGTAGGCCTTTCTGCTGCTGCTTTATTTTTATTTTTATCTAAATTTTGTTTAATTGCTTAAAGTTTTCTTGTCGCTTGCTGCCTTTCATTTTTTCTTAGTCGCTCCCGCTGTTGTTGCTGGCATTATGACAACTGTTTGCTGCTGCTGTTGTCGTTGTTGCTGTTGTAGTGCAAGCGCCTCACATGGCAGCACACGCACACGCACATACAATACTCACATAGACACGCACACACATGCGCGCAGATAAATCCGCGTTCACAAAGAAAAAGATTTCGCACACACGCAAAAAAAAAAGGAAACACGAAAAAAATAAATAAAATAATATAAAAGTCGATTTATTGTCACAATTTTACACGGCAGCAACGAGAAAAAAACACACGATATAAACTGAAATTGTAGTGTGTATTAAACGAAGCAGAAAACGCACGCACAGTGGATACAAAACATAACTGTAAAAATTGTAAAATATATAAAAAAAATTAAATAAAGGCAAAATATTGGCAAAATTGTAAAATAATGTATATAAATTTATATATAAATAAGTATATATGTATGCACTTTGCAATGACAACAACAAAAATAAAAAAATGTAAAAGATTATAATTTCAACATGCATAAATACACACATACATATTTGTATATATACATGTATATATAAATTTATAAATTATATATTTTATGTATAAGATTATGAATTATCGGCGCCTGTTGCTGTTGTAACAATAGCAAACAGCAACAACAAAATGTCGCGTGTGTTTCACAACACATAAATAAGTCGATTTACATGCCTACATACAGACATCTTTATGTGTGTGTGTGTGTGTGTGTGTCTCTATATGAATATTAAGCTTTATTTTTGTGCATTTTTTTTTTTGTTTTATTTCACTCGCTTTTTGTTTCCTTTCACAGATACGCATGGGTTTTCTGTTGTTTTTGTTTTGATTTTGTTTGTTATTGTTGCTTTTGTCATTTGGTTACACAGTCAAAAAATTCAAATAGGAATCGGGTCAAACTAAAACCAAAAGCGACACACATCACCAAAGAGAAATGCACACGAAGAAACGTTTTTTTATACATATTTAATTTTTTTTTTAAATGCGACACATTTTTTTTTTTGCTATTTGTTTTTGGCGCGCACGAACTAACAAAAAAAAATGCAAGTAAAAACTTAAAAACTTAATGTATTTATTTTGCACGTTTCGTGCGATTGCACATAGCTGGCATTAGCAAAGAGCTCGTACATCCCGTTATATTAGGTGTATTTTTGTATATTTTAAATACTTAAAAACTGTATGAAAAGAGACAAAAACTGAAAACGGAACACCACAGAAATAGAAATAGCAATCGAAAATAGAAATTAGATAAAAAAAAAGAAACAAGTTCGAACTGTTGCCTGCTCTTTACGGCACTTGTCACTGTTCATTTCATTTAAGTTTCTGATTTCTGTTTTGTTGATGAGGCGGTTGGAGGCTGGGGGCAGGGACTGTGGGGAGTTGGGGTATAGTATATGGGTAGAGGAAGATGAGCCCCGTTTAACGATCCCGAGTTGACGTTTAGGCAGAGCTCAGCTGCGCACGCACCGTTACCGTTCACGTTCACAGTTGTTTATGGAATGAGGCTTGGAAATGAGTGTGCGGGCGTCGTGGCTCCGAGCCAGCAGCAGCAGCAGCAGCAGACGCTGCGCCGACAGCGAGAGCGGTAGAGCGAGGGAGAGCCAGCGCTGAAGAGCGTCAAACGATCGGGCGGCAACGAGCTGCCTTGCTGTTCATCTGAATAGAGCGCGAGCATAAGATAGATAGAGAGAGAGAGAGAGAGAGAGAGAGAGAGAGCGGGCAGGAGAGCCAAATGACAAAGAGAGCGCAACGACTTTGACGGGGCGACTAAATCGTACTAGTGCCAGAGCCAATATAGCTGCAGTTGTTACTGTTGCTGTTGTTGTTGGTATTATAATTTTTGCTAGTGCTGTAAATAATGTTGTTGCCGGCAATTCAACTTAAATTAACTAAAAAGTAAAAGACTCTGGCCATAAAAATAATGTTTCTTTTTTATTATCAAAAGATATACAAACTGAATGCTTGAGCTACAAATTAAGAGCTCGACGCTAAATGGAGCGTAAGGATCAATTTGCATATGTGTGCATAAGAAAAACATGTTCACAGCTGTGGAAACTAACTCAATTCCTCTGAAGCGCTGCTAGGACTTACAATTAAATATTAAATCGAAAAATATATGTAGAACTTAATATGTTATGTCTTCAATATATCTTCTGGTATTATACATAGTTGTGAGCTTGACTAATGTTTCTTCCCCTTTTAAGTAGTGACTACTATATTTATGAACACATAAATTTGCTTAAGTTTGTGACAAACAAAACAGCAAATTTAATAAGAAATATGTTAATCTTAATATTCGCTTCAAATTATTTTCAAAAACTTAAGTTTATTACTTAATTTTCTTGTGCACGAACCCACTACTATTTTAATGAACAAGGCCATATATGCACCGGAAAATGTGATCCTAGTCGAAGCAGTATATGAAAACTTGTCTATGCTGATTGATTTTAAGTTCTCTAGGCTTTTCATAGCTCATAGACTTTCTGCATTGTGAAAACTTTCAGCTTGAACTAAGCCATATCTATGTCCCAATGCCTAATAGACTAGATATCGATAATATTTAAGTTTGAAATTTCCATTTACTTAAAAATTATATATATATATATATATATAAATATTCACTTTAATCGCTTTGAGGAATACGTGTGTTCAGCTCGGCTACACACATTAGTTGGCTAACAAAAATTTTTTGGTGAGTGTGAACTGAGAACTGGCACTGGCACTGGCACTGGCAACTGGACTCTTGCTGAGCTGCAGTCGGCTGGGTCTGGAATTGAATGTAGATAGTTGGGCCGCATGATTAATGACAGCAGGGAAATGGATTTCTTTGCTTTGTTTGTGCAACTAATTGAGAAATTTACATAGAGCGTCTGACACGCAGCTCGGAATGGGTCTAAGTGTGCGACTGGCTGTGTCTCTGGGCAGGGGTCGACCTCTGGGCACGACAATTCCCATTCAGTTTTCACGTTCAGCAAAAAATAGAAATTCCCTAGATAATTTCGTTTTTGTCTAAAACTATTTCAAAGAAAATCAATTTCTATTTTTTCACATTTTCAATTTGTCAAGTTTTTTGTTTTTGTTATTGTTTCCCTTCTCTGTTGTTATTGTTGTCAACGCATTGCATTGAACTTTTGTGTATTGTTCAATATACTTTATCTTGGCATAGGTCAGGTGCGACAGCAACTGAAAAAAACTGAAGAAAAGATGTTGGACAAATCCTTGCAACCGATTCCCACTAAGCCCTTAACACCTAGTATGCAGCCTCCAAGCCAAGCAGCTAAAAGGTCAGCTCGAAAATGTAAGACCTCTGCTCAGCTTCACCAGCTCACACAATTACCTGCCGCTTGCGTTAAGCTCATCCGCTTAAATTAACTTTTCACGCAATTTTCCACAATACGAATTCAAAGAAATATATGTGTATATATAAATATATCTCTACATATACATAGCGGAGCCTCTGCTGTGGCAGCAGCTTCAACTCCAACTGCTGCTCCTGCTCCAATTCAGCAACAGCCGCTGGGCTGTATCGTATTTAATTTCTGTTTCCATTTGCCTAATGGTGGCATGGGCGCTTGGGGGCGTGATTCTATTGAAGTCCCTAAATTCAACTTGAATATGTTCGAATCCATTATGGTTTAATACCAATGCCCTGTAACGTTGTTGTTATGATACCCTGTGCTCAGCGCTCCGGCTGGGTGGATCGAAAATAAATTGTGAAGTTAGAGCTTAACTAAACGCAGATCGAAACTCTTAAAGGCTTAAGAATCACATTTATTAAAGTACAATAAGCTGGCAACTGAGAGGCAAAGTAGGCAGTCACCTCACAGGCACCTTCACTGTCTTATGATTAATCTACGACTCTCTCTCGCTTATCCTGCTTGTGTACAGGGTATTATGCTGGTCTTGTTGTGGTTGTTGTTGTGTGCTGGCTGCTCCATTGCCAAATTGTATTTCACGCTACTTTTAATTGGCCGCCTCTTCAGCAGGCCCTCCCCTTGCGAGCGCCCAATGGCAGCTGCTGTTTTTTAGGCCCACATAATGGCCAATTATGCCCGCTTGGACTCGCACATTACAGCTCCTCTCGCCCCCTATGTGCGCGGGTGTGTGTGTGTTGGAGTTTACTTTTTAATGGTCAAGTGTATTGCGGATGGATGTGCCTCTTTCGTTCTGGCACTGGCCTTTCCCAAAAGTCGAAAAACAACAGCTTTTTGTTGTTTGCTGATACTTTTCCTGCTGCTGCTCTTCTTCTTGCCCAGCCGTTTGTGCTTTGTCTTCTTCAGCATATTTCGCTTCTTTTTTTTGGTACTTTAAGTGAAATCAATTAAAAAATTTCTTTGTCTTTCGAATGTTTGACTTCAGTTGTTGATGATGTTGTTGTCGTTGTTGTTCTTGTTGTTGTTGTTGTTCTTGTTGTTGTTGTTGTTGCGAAGCATCTTCCAAGTGGCATTTGGAATTCAATGGAAATTAATTTCTTTTGTTTTTTCTTTTTTTTTTGGGTGCTTTTTTTACTGGGCTGTTGCTGTCTGCCGTCTTCTTCTTCTTCTTGATTTTCATTTTCACTTTTTACATTTGTTTTGTAGTTTCTTGAGCAGGTTCTCGTTTTCACTTTCGAAAAAAGTTTTGTCTTTTTTTCTTGCGCATTTAATATATTAATTCGTAAGAGCAGCAATC